GTGTATAGTCAAGTGTTGCATAAAGATTCAGTTTTACAAGAACCCTAGTCCTGGTAAAGATGACCGTATTCATGCTAGGAGTAGCTGAGGAAGTAATTTTTTTTTAATTGTCACTGCAGCTCACTGGCAGAGCCAGGCTAGAACTAAGGATTTTCCAGTTCCACTCTAAACCACAGACAAACAAATTTTTTTGGTTCAGCTGCTTTTAAGGCAGAGTTTACTTTTTACTCCTGAAAACTTGGTCTGGGTAGAAGGGAAGACTTTTAACATCAGTCTGGAATTTGCACAGTTCTTAGAGCCCAGTTTACCATTGTGGCTGTAGCCACAGTCAGGCTGCAGAGCATTTGGAAATACCAGATAAAATCAGTTATTCAGTGTAGATGCAGCAGTTCTCGTGATTCCTAGGTATGTTAAAATCAGATAAATATGTGGTATACTTACAGCATTTCTACGTACAGAATATATCAGATATCTCAGGCTTGGTACTTGCATGTAAGTCACCTGTGTGTGTGTGTGTCTGTTGAGAAATACCCTGAGGGAACTTTGTAGACTCATCTCTATGTCCCCACCATCTGCACCAACCCATGGTGTGGCTTCCTCCCCATCTCGGGTGCAGAGGAAGGACCCTCTTCCCCACATATATAGTGAAACTGCATCTCTGTCTGGTCACAGTTCTGTTTCTAACCAACCTGAAAATTTTCTGTGTCCATGAGTCGTGTTTTTCTTGAACTAAAAGCTGCATGAACAGGTCTAGAAATAGCTATATATTTTCTTCTGAGTAGTTGATATTTGAGTGACTGTATTGAAGCAGGAGGCGGAAGGTACTTGGTATTTGCCAATATTAAGGGAGAAGTATGTTAATTCTCTGAAAGCAGTGCATGCTACCAGGTTTTTCCAGTAGTTGCTAGGAAGAAGATTAATAGTCAAAATTCTGTAATGAAAAGCATGCTACCAGGTTTTTCCAGTAGTTGCTAGGAAGAAGATTAATAGTCAAAATTCTGTAATGAAAAATCGGTTAGCTATTTTTACTTAAATTTGGAAAAAACACAGGCTCCTTGGTGCACATATTCTTTTTGTGTTGTTCCATGGGCATATAGCACAATAGTATGTGTCCATTCTTTGGGGATCACGGGACTTTATGCTATCTTTATAGTAGAAACAGAATTCTTATGATGTTATCATACAAAATATGAATTTTAATGTTAAACTTAATGCTCTGCTATGAGAAATATGTAAACTTGGCTTTGGAGCAGCAGTATGCACTTCCTGGAATTCTGTGCATAGCGTAGTTATAAATAAGCAGCAGGTTATTTGGGAATCACTAGGACTGATATCTGGTATCATAAACAGTATCTGGGAGAAATTGTTATCCCTGACAGTTGATTTTTTGAAGAATGCAATATGCTTTATTTTGAAAATTCATATCTTATTAATGAATACCAAGTATACATTGAGCACAGTGACGAGCTTACAAAGCAAACACATATATGCTATTTAATTACTTTATACCTCATCTGTTGCCAAAATTTCATTCCTTTGACTGTTGTATATAACATTTCCAATCTAGATCAAAATGCTGGAATTCATCATGTATAGGTAAGATACTAAAATTATTGATAAGCGTAGGATTGTCAATATATGGTTTAAGCCTGGCTTTAAATTTTAAAGGGAGTTATCTTTTATCTGTGCATGTGTCTATAGCATGGGAAACATATATTTGAATTCAATTAAATAGGCTTTTAAAAATCTTTAGAAAAGTATTCCCCTTGTTCTTCAAGCTCTTAATAGAAGCTACAAGAATCAGTGTTTTCTGCTTCATTGTTATGTTTTATTAACTTAGTTGTCTGATGTATAACATCATGGTTATAGGGTCAATTTGGGATGGAGTAGCTGCAAGAATAGAACCACCCCATTCAGTGGCATAAATTTTAGATTTCATGTATTAATAAAACCTGGGTGTTGCGAGCGGGCGGTGCTTTCTCATCTGAGGTTTCTGCTTGACCCCCTGCGTGCGGGCACTCAGCAGAACGGACCGGGGCAGCCCTGGCCCAGCGGTGCCTGGTGCCGTGGGCTCAGGGACATGGCCTGTGTCGTCCCCGGCAGCCAGCCTTCGCTGGGTCGGTTCCACTCAGGCTCAGCAGCCTGCACCGCGTGGGACCCACGTACACACACCCCACCAGGGCCTGTTTCCTCTCTTCCCTTCTTCCCAGCTCCTACGGCACACCACCGGTGGCCTGCAGCGGAGGGGCTCCGGCTGATCTCTGTGACTTTCTCCCTGTGATGCAGATTGTTGGCAATTTCCTGGGTTACTACCACCCTCCAGCCTCCCTCCCTGAGCACGTGGCAGGGCTGTGGGGCTGCTTGCGGTGCGTCCGTGTTCCCCTGTTCCTCTCCTGCCCGTGCCACAGCCTGGGAGCCAGGCAGATGCCGCCCAGGCTCGTTCGGCAGAGCTTTCTGCTCGGCTTCCTCATGACAGGGATCTGTGGTCTGGCTGCTCCGGCCCGTACCAGCCTCATCTGGTCAGCGAGAGATGAGCAGATGCGGCCCGGGCCTCTTTTTGTCTGCGTGGTGCTTTTGGGTAGGTCTCCTCGTGACAGCTGTCCATACGGCCATGTCAATTGGTTACCCTGTGTTTAGAAAGGCCTGTGTATTTTTGATTTATGAAAATGTATCTGCACTTCAGACAATTTGTTTCAGGGTTGGCCACGTTTCAGGCCAAAATTATTGTAAGATGAAAGGTTTCCTCAATTGTGGGTGGATTGTGAAAGAAATAATAAGCACTGAAGGGAATTAAGAGTGTAGAGACAGCAGCGTGACATCCCTGCTATCCCTCTTTTGATCCCTTCTGTGAGGACCTTGCGTTCGCCTCAGGAGAGCTTTTACAGCCCTGAGGGTAAGCGTTTGGTTAACCTCTGAGGGATGCAGAGCAGGAGATGGTTCCTCCTGGTGAAGGGGTCAGAGGAGTGACCCCCTGGTGCCCCGTGATGCAGCTGTCGCTTCCAGGGAGGCTCAGAAGCTGTCCAGTTCCTCTGGGGATCTGGTTGCACAAAGGGAGGCTTGGGACTGTCTTCCCACAGCCTCTCCCTTCAACAAGAAATCACCTGGGGTGCCTCAGTGGTTTTGTGGAGTTTCTGGGTGGTGGAGACAGAAAGGAATTTCTCCATGCAGTGCCTGACTATACCATCTGTGCTTTTTATTGATTTTATTTCTGGGTTGCCCTCTGTTACTTACTAGCAGGGAAGATCAACTGATCTATGTGTATGCGATTCAAACAGGGAGATGGCCTGCATTTTTAGTTTGCGCCGGGTTGTGCTGAAGTTGGATGGATGGAAACAGCCACATTTTAAAGAAAAAGCACCCCTGAGATTTAGATTAATTGACAATAAAAGGGTAGCAGTGGAACTCTGCTCTTCAGGTGACACTGTTAATCATAAAAATTGTTAAATGATGAAGTAGTTTTGAGATGTCTCTAAGTGATAAAGATAACACCTGAGCAGTGCTTTAAAGTTATAATTTATTTAAAGCTATCACAGTCCATTCAGTACAGAAATATTTTCAGCTAGAAATGTTATATCTAGTGTAATTGAATATATAGATTGAACAGACATTATTGTTTGGTGAGAAAATTGATGAGAGCTATTTCTTTCTAGGCTTTATTGAGCTGTAAAGTAAGTGATAACAGTACAGATTTTCCCGCTCAAAGTTTATCCTTAGTTTGTCCACCTCTGCTGATATTTCATGTTCCTTTTTGTCAGTCTGTCCTTGTAAGTGGATTGCTAGAAGTGCGCTGAGGTATCTTGTGTGAATTTTTATGCTCTTTAAAGTGGTAGGTTTGAATGGGTGATTAGGCCACTGCATGCAGTCCAGTCTGAGCATCTTCAAGAATCACTGAGTATTGCAAAGATCAGATAGATCTTTGAACTTCTAGACCTTGAAGGGCTCTCTTTGTCCTTTCATCTTCATAGTTGTAAAATGGGTATGGAATATAGTTGGTGGAGTTATGAATAATGCTTCAAATACCCAGGAATAAAGGTATAGTTAGATGGAGACCAGGTCCCACAGTCAGCTTGTTGGTGGTTACCTTCGTGGGAGATGGTGCCTTTGGATTGTTCACTCTGAGAGAAGATGGTGATCGAACAGACAGTGAAGAACATGCAGAAAAGTAGTGTTTATCACTTCTATATGGACCTAACTGTGCATAAGTGAATTTGTGATGGTGCTGTGTGGCCCAAATGTTGGTATAACCACATCCACATGCTTAACCTGAAGCAGCGTATGAATGGTCAAGTCTTCAAGTGGGAAATACAGGATTACACAAAAGGCTGGTTATAAGGGTGTATAACTGTTCCTTACAAAGTATTCTGAATTAATGAAAAAGCATTCTTTAAAAAAACAAAAATGTTCCAATACTTTGGTTTCTGTTTGGTAAAGAGATAAAGCAAATTTTTATTTTGGGGAAAATTGTTTACAATTCATACAGTTCTATCTTCACTGTTTGGATGTTGGGTTCCCCTCCATTCTCCGGCAGATGTGCATATGAGGTTTTCCTTAAAAAAAAAAAAAGGAAAGAAAAAAGAAAAAGTCACCAAATTTTGACAAAAACATTTCAATGACATGGTGAACAGTAATTTCACTCTGCTTTTTAATGAATGTGGAGAGTAATTCATGGAAAAAGTAGATTATTACTTTGTGCTTTGAATTATGCATTGGTTGTCAGAAGAAACAGAATTTTGTCAGTACTTAACATACACACTGTGACTAAGGAGCCATTGTGGACTGTCACAGAAAATGCTCTGCTGAAATAGATAAATTGTAACAACAGATAATGTGCAATAATAAAGGGGTAGAAACCAGTAATTGCTAAAATAATGGTACTCAACCATCTTTATTTTTGCTTCATTGTGACTGGATTGATGTTTATAATTTTTTGCTTTTCTGATGTAAAGATGACCTTAGAGGTAAGGTCATCTCTTTCTGCCTTTTTTTTTTCTTTTTGACAGACTAGAGACGACTTCCTGGGTCAAGTGGATGTGCCACTTAGTCACCTTCCGGTAAGCAGTGCTTTTGTCTCAGCGTGCTCTTTTTTGTCATCACCAGATGTGAAAACCCCTGATGTTATGTAGAATTTATTTCCATAAGTAGTCTAATTAAATTTTCTTAAAGCAAGCATACCCAGCATAGCATTAGAGGCTTAAGGAAAATTGTTATGAGCAACAAAGCCCTACCGTGCACAGGAATTTGGAGAAATGGTTCCCTTTGCAAGGACAAGGAAGACAGTTGTTCTCTGGTATCTGTTAAATATCTCAACATCCAGGATTCACTTCTCATTCTGATTCTTTCTTAAAATCCTTGTCTGGTCTGAGTCAATTGATGAATGACATGGCCAATAGACTGGTTGTTTCTCACCATACCGTTGGTGATTATTGTCCTATTAATCTTCTGGCTTCTTCCTTTTCATGATTTTCCCTTACAGTTGAAACAGTTGTATTCTCCCTTAGCAAACTCTGTTTCCTCCAGAACTTTTGTTAAAACGTTGAAAAAACCTGCATTTT